AGGTACATTACACTGAGGTCAAAGACGCTGCCTTCAAAGATAGGATTGCTCCTCATGTAGGCACATCAAAACTCATTTTATAGTAATTAGTTCAGGTATTGATAACCGTAGTTGCACCAGCAAGAGGCTCATTTTAGCATCCAGTTGGATGTGTATTTTACAGCCAGCTAGTACTGAATTACATCTTCCTAAAGCCACACTGCTAACAGTCAGTAAGCCAGCTATTTTGCAACTACGTTTTAACCTCTCCATATACTACAGTCACACATTCAAAAGCTAAGAAGACATGCTCAAATGACACTCACTGCTAGCACAAGAAATGCTGAAAATGACGGTGACAAGCATCTAGGTCTAGAAATGTCTGTTGACTTCAGGTGTCAACCTAATAATCCATTTTCAAAAGTATGTACTGGGCACTTACTGTAGGAAACAAAAGCTCACAGACAGTGAACACATAGTCCCGAAAAGTTTCAAGCTGGGCATCTACAAACTGAGGAACTCAAAACTGGCTGGTACTAGAAGACACTGGCTAGATTTGCTGCATTTCACATCAACAGGGAAAATGCTATCCTCATTTGCTAAAAATTGTTTGCTTATACTGAAGGCTTACTGTGTTGCAGGTCTATATACACATAAATACTTATCTATCGCTATAAATACGTGTACTGTTGTAAGAACTACTTTAAAAAGACTTTATTTTTTGGAGCCACCTGGTCCTCAGAGACCTCCATTGGGTTCTACCCTCCAGCGGCAGAACCAGCCCTTGAGATGTCAGCCAACGCCAGCCTAAGTTATGAAAAGTCTTTCCTTGGAATTCAGTGGATATATTAGGTCTTCAACATACAGTCCTTACCAGCCAATGGGTGTGTTGAGACCAAGACAGGAAAACACTGTTTTGCAGTTCCTTCGCACTGCCTTCCTGAAAATAAGGGGAATTACTATACAGGATATTATAGAGTTATTCAGCATTGCCTGCTGTAAACTGTTACCCAGGCCAAGCTTAAACATCCTGGGTAGCGTGAAAACACAGATACTGCCAGTTCAATGAGGAGGTCTAAAAAACACCTTTCTTTTCTTTAGCCTGACATGCTAGATATCTTTTGGGAAATACTGGCCTTTATGCACAAGACAGTCTAGCACATAGTAATATTTTAGGTTACAGGGAAGGTATTACGTAGCTGTAGAAATCAATCTAAGCTTAACACAGAGCAGGCCTCAAGGTGAAGTGAAAGGCTAATTCCAATGGTGCAAAGCTACGGTCTTCCACAGACACCACTTTTATTTATATGATTTTATCTTCTCTAATTAAAAGGGTGGTGGTCTGCACTGAGGATGATACCTAGGTATAACTCGCTGACACTCAGATCTTGATCATCCAGCCCTGGTTAACGAACATTGATTTTCTGCCCCAGTGGAAGCGATTTTATTCTGATGCATGCCGTTTAAATTCATTTTACACAGCTGCTTAGCATGGCTTGGCAAGGCAGAGGCAAACCAGCTTTCTTATGTCTAAATGAGACTCTGGAGCTGGTAAAGGATAGATCCTGTGGATTAGCAGCTGAAGATAAATTTCTCTCCCCTATTGATACTTGGCTGCTGATTCAACAAGTTGACCTTGAAGGGGATCACAACCAACTTGTACAGAAATACTGCTGTGTAACCATGACTCTGACACAACCGTTTCATTTTCTTCTTCCTTCTACATAGAGGGGCGTGTTTTATAGTAACAGTTTTTGAACCCCACAGCTGAATCTTATAAACTCAAGACATTCAAAGAAAAAGGCTGGATACTATTCATGCACTTTGGCATGTAACAGTGGATGTCTTTCCAGTTAGACAAAATAGTATGGTGCGAGTGCTCTCCCATTTCACTCATTTTTGCTTTTTGAACAGGAGCACCAGCAGACTTGTGTCCTTATTTTTTGTTTTGCTTTGTACTTTCTCGTATGCACATATATGAATGATGTTATTAAGGAAAAAAACAACCAAACAAAAGCAGCTACAGAAAACTGGTAATTAGAACTTGTTAATAACCATGAAGGCAGCAATAATTTGGGTATTACGGATTTCCTACGGAGGTAAAAACTGAAATACTGTGATGGCAGGGAAGCCCATGAAACTTGAATGTCAGGTGAAGCTGGACTTGGCTGTGAGGGAGCAACAGGCTGGGAGCCAGTGTAGATACCTTCTCCCAGTGCTGTAATTTATGATACGGTTACAGAAACCACAATGTGAAGGACTCTGGTGTAAAAACAGTAGCTGCATTTCAGCTGAATGTTTTGCACTGGATACTTAGCGCTCCTTGAAATTGTTCAAGAGATTAACTGAAATTTTTCAAACACATGCATGCTCAATTACAGTGCAATAAAACTTTCTTGAAATTCCCATTAAGAAACGCTGTAATCACTCCTGCAGTGCAGCACCTCTTAGAAAGGGATCATACTTTGGGGGTTGCAGCTCACTGCCCAGGCAGCAATGACAATACCACCATCAAGTCAAGAAGACGGGGTTGCACAGCACCGCTGTGAGAGAGGAACACCAACAATGAGGGGAGAAAGACGATGCCTGCGTCAGGGGGAGGAGGAATCTCATTCCTTCTCAGTGATGAGATTCTTCATTTCCCTCTCAGGCACAAGGAAACGGAGCGATGCCAAAAGCCATGCCGGTGTGTGAGCGAGTGACATGCAGCTTTTCATCATACTGCCACAGTGGTGTTACTAAAAAGAAAACAAAAAACTAAAATCCCCTCTAGGATGCAAGTATTTGTGTATCTTTCACATAATTGTTATATTCCTTCAGCAGCCAGGTGGCATGTTCATAAACATTAAAAAAAATTGCCAAGGTCCCACAGCAAGTCCAGTTTACACTGCTACCTACTCGCCCTGGTCAGGATGGTGCATCAAGGGAGCCTGAGCATTACCATAGTTGGGGTGCTGTGAAGAAAACCTGGGGCGTCCGCCAGCCCCAGACTGGCTGGGATAAGCAGGTGACCTAATGTATAGTGGCCTAAAGCAGAACAAAAGAACAGCCTCTTTGGGTTTGCTCTGTACCACAAATACGAATCACTGTCAAGTACATTCCTTCCATATGCAAGTATGGAGGACTTGCAGGAATAGCCAAAAGCCATTACGCTTTCTCCCCTACAGCTGACTTGAGATCAAAGAGGAAAACAGTGTGCTTGCATCCCCCTGGCATCCGGGAGGTGTGACAAGTTTCACTCAATCTGCAGTTTATAAATAGCCCTTTTGCCAGTATTTGCAATAGAGATTCAATGACTGCACAGCCCTTCCACAGGTGCTGGATCAGTAGAATGGGCAATACGTGACGGAAAGGCTCTGAAATGGTGCAGTTTGCCCAGGCAAAGCTAAAAACCAAAAGAGGTTTTACAAAACTGACTTGGGAGGAAGTGTGTGAGATAGGAATGATAATCATTTAATCTAGTTTTTGATCAAACACCACACACTATGCCCAAAGTGTAAGCTGAATCACAACCAAATATTTTCTGCTTAACACAAAGTCTTTTCTTGCTGTAAAGACCAACAAATGTGATCTTTCATTACATGATTATACAGAAAGTGTTCCTGCGGCTACAGTGATGGCCCATTTATTCCTTCGTGCCTGACCTATCAGCTTATAGCCTAAACCAGAGAGACAGAAGCAGACTTTTGTAAATCCTACTTGACAGTTCTGTTAAAACAACCAACATAAGTAAGGGACTGCTGGTTCACAGCTATCTGCTGGAGTACCGTCTGTTCTAAGGGCGTGCGGTTCTATTTTACTGAACAAGGACATGAAGTATACTAAATTTACCGGGTTTGTTTTAGAAGTTTCTATTGCTTATCACTAGAAGCCACCTGTCTTCCAAACTTGCAAAACAAGAAAGCAACAGATGCAGGGACACATTACTTTCCTATTCTAGTTTTACATTACATCTTGGAATTAGAGCAACCTTAGTGTCCAGAAACACTGCTCTTGAATGATAAATACCTGTATGCGTAAATATGCATCTGCATAAATAAATGCAAGATGCTTAATACACACACACACACAAAAATATGCTTTCCAGAAAATGCAACCAACTTTGTGCAGTTCTCAAATGTAATGGAACTTCTTGTAACAGAAAAAGATAATAAATATACCAGGAGTTAAATTTGAGTCCAGGGAAACATGGAAATTACTTAATCTGAAAAGTTTCTTCAGAAAATATGATTTCATTGCAAGTGTTCAGGCATCTTAAGAATAACCGTGGACAGAAATGTGCCTTTGCCAAAATCCACGTACAAACAGCAACAAGCAGTTAGCTGCCCGAAGGGAAGACACGAAGACAGATGATGTCTACAATTCTGTTCACAGGTTCTCTCTTACGGATGCATAAGTGGCAGTTACCAACTCCAGATAACTACAGATTGCTTTTATGCCTCCTTCTGCCTTTCCCCTCCAGCAGCTCCCCTCAACCTGCCCTCTTCTCTCCCTCTGCATGCCTGCCTAGGAACAAGAACATCCCGTAGAAGACAACTGCCATCAGCTCTGCTGCTCAGAATGTAGGCAGGAAAGGCAAGAGTTGATGGGCAGCTTCATAAGCTTCCTTACTCTCTGGCAGGGGCAAGCTGCCAAGGACATGTTGGCCCTCTCTCTACTGGAGATAAAAAATATATATCCAGCTAATCAATTTTTAGTTGCAAAGGGCTTGTTTTTGACTCTTAATGTTGCTAAGACCCTGTGGGTTTTCCTAAAGCCTACAGTGCCAAGAACCAAACTGGAAGTGGCTGTCATCTCCATTGTTGCAACTGCTTTTCGAGAGGATAATTCAAACACACGATAGCATGCTTCCCCCTACGTTTAAGGAAAAGTAGTCTTCCCACATGTCATCTCCTCCCAGAGATAAGGGCACAAACAGAACATGTATAAATGCATATGCATACACCTATACAGTGCCATTACTTCAGAAATGACAGAAAAACATTCCTACTTCTTTAAACTCCTTTCACCTGGATGCATACCTGCTCTGAGCGGAGTTTGCAGCAGCCTGCATCACTGCAGCAGCCGCCTCCTGTGCCTTACGGTTCACAGTTGGCATGGGTGGGCCCATCCCGGGGCCTCCCTGCTGAGACATGCCAGGAGAATTGGGGGTCATACTGCTCATGTTTCCAGGAAATGGTCTGCTCTGCATCCCAGCCGATGGCATCCGTCCCAGGGGCATGGTACCACAAGGCTGGCTTGGCCCCTGTCCATGCATCTGACTGTTGGCATTTATACCCATGCCAGGTCCTGGGCCACTGTAACTTGTGTTGGGCACGCCGCTGTACGTCGGTGGTCTGGAGTAGTTTCCTGAACAAAATGATAAAAAGCACAGAGAAAAACATTACACTTTTGAGCAAATATTTCTATTTAGGAAGTCAGCAGCTGCAGAACTTATACATGTGAATTTAAGTGAACCATGCTAGCCTCAAAGTCAGAATGACTTTTTCACCATGAGGATGGACAAGCAGTGGAACAAGCTGCTCAAGGAGGTTGTGCAGACTCTCTCCCTGGAGGTTTTCAAGACCCGGTTGGATAAAGCCACAAGAAACCTGCCCTGATCTTATATCGGACCCCGATTTCAATACAAAGTCAGCCAAGAACAACTCCTGAGCACTCTTCCAAACTGAATGATCCTATGAATCTGATTTTCATGTACCCTCAAATGTTTTGTGCCTGCTATATGTCATGGGATAACAGCAAATACAGAAGAGCACAGCCTCCAGAGGGTTAACAACATAGCACACAGTACAAAACTGCCTTACACAGTAAAGAGATACGTGGCATGTAAGAAACCCATTACATAAGCTCAAGGGAGAATCTTATTTTTGTAATTTCATGTTCTCATTCTTCATCTTTCTGCAATTTCAGCAACAAGCTATTCTCACTGGCTTCTTGCTCCTAACCATTCTGCCCATTTGTGTCAGAGATGCTTTGGCACAGACCAGTGAGGGCGGCTGCCTGGCCCTGAAAAACACTGCTGCTCCCACCTGCCCCACCCTGCCTTCCTGGTGAGTTGAAAGTTTGGTTATGGCAGCAGACGGGGTAGTAGTCTTACAGTGCACCTCCTCTGGGATAACTAGTATTACAAGAGTAATCAGCAATAGTACAAAGATGCTAATATAAACAGGTGCCTTATGAAGGATGGCATGAAAACCTTGCTGACCCCAGTCTCCATTGTCACTGGAGCAAACTGCTCCACTTGCAGCAGCGTAAGTCATTTGAGTGCCGACTTTCCTATCATGTTAAAGGGTCAAGAAAAAGTGAGTGTACAGCATTCTGTGTTACAGAAACAAACCTAAGCAGCATGAGAAAGAGAGAAAAAAAGGTAAAGATATGATAGAAAAGTATTTTAGGAAACGGATCACATTACACTACTTCAGTCATCAGTTTTGACTTGTCTTTATTTCCATCTCATCCAGATTAGTGGAAACACGACCCGTTCCCTCCCTGTGGGATGCCACAGAGCAGAGTTTCCTGACTATTCTCAGATATTCCCACGCTTGTTCAAAGGCAGCAACCCTTGGACTCTTCCTCTGAACGTGGAGATCAGCCACGTCTCTCCTCAGGCCTCAGCTACCAGGCAGAAGAGTCAGTGGCATGCAACTCCTGTTTATATTTAAAATAAATATATTCATCCATCATTTGAATGCACACATAATTAATTCATACGCTCCTGCTGCTCTGCTTTGGCTAATCCTCCCCTTCTCCCCACTCAGTAACTGACTCACTCTGCTACAAGTTCTCCTCAGCAAGAATGCATGAGACCTACGCTTCCCAAGGAAATGGAGAAACAATTCTCTTCTGTTTCAGAAACCGAATTTCTGCCTGGGGATCTTCACAGAAGGATCCCCAATATGTGGTTCAACAGAGATGAAAGACTCCAGATTCCGCTTTACGCTGACTTCAGACTGCCCTGTCACTTCTCCTCCTCCTCTAGGCTCAACCATTGGCAGCTGACTATTTTTCTGTTCAGCGAGCCATCGCCCCTAGCCAGAGTTCTGGTTGCTGAGACCTGCTCAAGCCACACTTCTGATCCAACACATGTGACCACAAACTGAAGGGTTCACTAGTTTCGCACTACTCTGCTTAGTGTTAAAGGTGTAACACACAACTCGGATGTTGCTCTGGTCTTCCAGTTGCTTGGTGCAAGAAAAATGTAATGCAGCAAGATGGTGTGCTCGAAGATTACACACAGCCAGTTAACACATTTTATGTACATGCTATTAGTAACACTGCTTCCCAAAGTGAAGCAAATTCCCTCCCTAGACAAGCAGACATGATATCCATAATCACTGGGAGCTACTGTCAGTCCAATTTA